AATATTGGTTAAATTTCCTATCTACTAATTTACCAAATATTGAGATTCTTTGGCTTCTTAGAAACTCTTGTTTAGACAAATATAAGTCTTCCTCATTGCTCTTCCTTACATTCATTACATTAAGTTCTGCTTATTTTATTTACTGTTAATTCATTTAATATTGCTCTATCATTTTATCTCTTGTCTCATTCTAAAATATGGTCTTCTTTCCATAAAACATGGTAGCCAAGTAAGGCTTTAAAAGTACTTAATAACTGGTACTAAGATGTAAACTCACCAGGGTCCCAGAGAGGGTTCTAGAGGCTGCTGGGCCAGGTATTTACCATTCACTTGCTAGATCAGGGAATGTCCTGGAGCAGCCCATTAGGAGAAGGGCGAGGAAGGCAGGAGAGGCCCAGGCCTTCCTGTGTACCTACAAGTATAGAAATACTTATTTTAACTTATTTTTTTTAAGAGAAAAGACATGGTTTATTTGGTAACAAGAAGTATAAATGAATTCTAAACTCCACTTCTCCTTTCTGGTGCTAACCTGAAGTGTTAATAGTCAAAGAAGAGCAACACACAACTCCCTTTGCAGACCTTGATTTTTGCAGAATTGCAAAGATATCTGTACAACTTGCAGTAATTTTCTAAATGGATGTGCCAACTGTTGTGCTTTCCCCTGTATCAATGGTTGCTTCATTCTCCTCCTCTTCTTGTCTTCAGGTTTCATGGAAGGATGCAGAAGTACTTTCTGGATGCTATGATCCCAGCCTGTGATCCAGACTCTAGTCAGTTGCATATGGTGGGGGGGCAGTGTTCCAGGGTGGTGCAGAAATCTTCAAGTACGTACATCTCTGGTGTCCCTAGTGTTGGTCTGTTTTCTAAAAGTTGTTGCTGCTGCATGGACTCATTCAGCTCACGTAGGACTGCATACTTCTTTCATAACAAATCATTCAACATGCTGAGTCAGATCCTCTTTAACCAAAGGGCTCATGCTCTTTGGTGATCACAGATAAATGTATGATTAATGCAAGTCACTTCCAGGAACTCCTGACAAGCCCATCAATGACACTAACTATTGTCTGAGGTGGAGGACATTCAAGACCTTTTGCCACATAGATAACATCAAGAATTCTGTAAGTTTCTTCAGTTTCCAAGAGGTTAATTTATGGCAGCTTCACTCCAGGGCTTAATTTAAGTCTTTTACCATGCTTAATCTCTGGAAGGGTAGAGTGAAGTCAGTGTTGTAGAACTGACCCTCTGGGCCATGTAGGTGGGAGGCAACCTTTAACCACTGGTAATGTGATTCATTATTCCACTGAAACGGTCTTCTCTGTGGTTTCCAGGAGACTGTCATAGTCTGTGTAGAACTCACAGATGGTAAACTCAGGATCGTGGGTCAAAACAATTCCTTCATTCTGGAAGTGGTGTCCAATGTCATAAACCTGGTCAATGTCATCAGCACATTATGGTAAAGTTCTGGGGGCAATTATCTTACATAAGTTCATGTCTTATTTTTTTGTGATAGAGAGGAAAATCTCGGTCACAGCTCCCTCCTACACCAGGATGATGTTCATTTTATAAATTTTAATCTCTAGGAATCCCAGATCACCCAAGAAGCTTCTTACATCTATGATGACCTTACCATTGATGATATACTTCTGCCTCACAAAATCAATCAGGATCAAGTCCAGGTGGAGGTAACATAAGTAACCATGGAAAGAGCAGTATGATCTTGTAGGGAATGACCCTCAGCTCACCATTTTTGATTTTCTCAGGATTCCTCTGAATTTTAATCATGTTTCCTTGAATTGTTATGAATAAATTCTTCTTCTGATCAATAATTCCTGGAATTCATGACTTGCAACTTGACCTGTCTCCTCTGCAGGTCATAGAAGATGAGCTTTCCCCCACAAGCTCTTTTGGCCTGCGTCCTCCCTGCCACTTTTAAGGCAATGTCAGCCAGGTAGCCCCCAGGCTGCAGGTAACTGTACCCTTGGATGAAGTGAGTGAGCAAGATATCTACATGGAACTGCGTGGGTCTCAGTCTTCCCTATTCAGCTGGTGGACAGCTTGACTGCAGATCTTGTAGCATTGATTCACACCCACACCACTCTCGGTGGTGGGGCTTGTGGCAGCAACCTCGCCAGGATTGCAGCCATCCCGGCTTAGCTATTTCTCAGTGAGCTTTTTCTGATTGGCCCCTTCTCAGCCACTTTCCTCTCAGCTCTCAGGTGTCTCTTTTGTTTATTCTTGCTCGGTTTCATTTTGCAGACATCTGCTTTCACTTCAGTCCTGGGCTGCTGCTGTCTTCCTGGACAGGCTCACCCAAAAGACTGAAAGTATTCATCTTAACAACTAGTGTAACAGCACCCATATGATAGTTGGATAGTTGGATAGTTGGTCATTGGCTGTATCTTCAGGCTGACCATTCCTAGTGTAGGTATAATGACCACAGAACCATCTCTCCAGCTTCTGTTCTGTTGGGTAAGTGGGCTGCCTCTAGTTTTAACTGCGATATTAAGTTCAGTTCTAAGCATTTTTGTGTGCACCTTTGTTTCTTTTTTGGGGGGGGTACTGAGGAAGTGAACTCAAGGGGCACTTGACCACTGAGCCACATCCCCAGCCCTATTTTGTATTTTATTTAGAGACAGGGTCTCACTGAACTCATGATCCTCCTGCCTCAGCCTCCCAAGCCACTAGGATTATAGGCATGTGCCACCTTACCTGGCTTCATTTTTATATTTCATAAACTTATGTTTCCTGTTTTTATGTGTTTCCTTGGAACATATCTCTAATGTATTTTCTAAGGTCAAAGGTTATTGTCAATTTTACCCTTTTACATGGTGATATAAAAAGCATGTTATCATAGGTTCAGAAACATTTTTGTCCACATTTTCATAGACTACTGTTGCTGGAGAGCTAGGAGGCAGCATGGCCTAGTGGAGACAGGGTAGGCATTTAGGCATTGAGCAGGGAGAGCTGTGTTCAGGTCTGAGCAGTGTTACCTGGGTAAGAAGTAGGGGCTTGACAGTCACCCAGCCTCTGTGAAGTTTCTAGCTATAAAATGGGAGAGAGGCCACTGCACATAACACCAGGCAAAGCAGGCATCAGTTACGTACATCTGTTCCTGACTTTGGCCTGAAGCCTTGGTCATCTTTGTTACACCCTCAGCTGGCCCGTTTTTGCAGAAGGTGGACTAGGTAACAGGAGTTGAACAATGAACTATTAAATTGTGTTCTGGGCTGTGCACAGTGGCATATGCCTGTAATCCCAGTGATTTGGGAGGCTGAGACAGGAGGATCATAAGTTCAAGGCCAGCCTTAGCAATTTAGTAATGCCCAACATAACTCAGCAATTTAGCAAGGCCCAGTCTCAAAATAAAAAATAAAATGGCTGGGAATGTGGCTCAGTGGTAAAGTACCCCTGCATTCAAATCCCAAGTACCCTTTGCCACCCCCCAAAAGTCTTCTACACCTTAGGAGGTGTGCATACTGCCACCTTCTGGTGTGAAGAGTTAGTGTAGAGATGATCCAGGGATCAAGCTACTTCTCATTGTGTCCCTGTTAGGATCTGCCCCAGGGTGATGCTGTAGGAGAAGGAGGGGGAGGTTCTCCCCACCCAGCCTGACAGCTTCTATCTAGATGATGTCCTCCTTCTGCTGATGAAATTCTGGAGACAGGAAGATACTGAGTTTCCAAAGCCTACTTGTAAATGATGGTATATTTTTGGCTCTGAAGACTGTGGAGGTGTTGGCAAAGGATGTCTTTGCAAAACGAGGTGTCTTTATCGGTGTTTATTAAACCCTTCAGAGAGGTTGACTGTAGTGGTAAGTTAGTCCATAGATCTTTACAGCACCTAGCATGTGCCAGATACATGCTTTGGTACACATCATTGAATTAGGGAGAGTTCCTGCCTCTTTCTCATTGTGTAGAGGGGATGTATGTTGATAAGATTATCTATTTATTTATTTACTTACTTATTTTTGTGGTACTGGGATTGAACCCAGGGGCACTCTGCCATTGAGTCACACCCTCAGAACCCCCCACTATTTTTAAATTTTTGAGATAAGAGTCTTACTAAATTGTCCAGGCTGGTCTTGAACACATAATCTTCCTGCCTCAGCCTCCCCAGTTGCTGGGATTACAGGTGTGTACCACCATACCTGGTGAGATTAATTATTTTAAAATTGACATAGTTTCTTTTATTTATTTAATTGAGGACAAAAATTGTATCTAAACCAAACATTAAAAAATAGTTTAAAGCACAATATGCTGCCTCTCAAGTACTATAGCCATTTTTTTTCTCAGTAGATTCCAGCCCTTGTACACTGGTATGAAGATTTTTACAGAGCTATAACCATAATACATATATTATCCTGAAGTTCGTTATATTTTACTTGTAATAAACATCTCTCTATGTTGCTACTTAATCTTCATAATTATCCTTATAGCTATGTTATGAGGCAAATGTATGATTGTATCAAAATCTTTGAAGCAATTCTCTTAAGTTTAGTTTTTTTATATAATAGACACTGCTTATAATTAACTTCTTTATGCACATCTTTATTGCACTACTTCTCAATAATCATAAATATGGTTCTTCCTATGTGTTGCTATATTGTTTCCCAAAAGAACTATTATGAATTTACAATGCCACCAAAATTATGTCAGTTAGTTTGGTTGCAGCCCTGGTTGTCTTGAATATTGTTGCTGTAAAACATTTTTGAGAATTAATATTTTTAAATGTGGTCCTAGATTTGCTTTCATCTGTTATTTCTTTGAATACCAGTAGGCAGTTTCCTTTTCACACGTGCAGTATTTATAATTGCTCCTGCATGAGAACTCTGTTTATATTGTGGTTAAAAATATGAATGGGACCCTTGTTGTACGTCTTAAGAGAGAGAAAAGCAATAGAAATTGCATTATTACAGCTCAGAGGGTCAGAATGGTACTTACTGTTTTATTCGTTGGGTTAACAATGCCTTCTGGAATCTTCCCAAGAAAGCCCCAATGTTCTAAGATCTAGAGTGCAAGTCTATTCTCCTTCCCAGAACTACTGAGAAAAGTGATTCTACAACACCCTTAGTGTGCTTGACTCAATAATGGAAATGACATGATTCCCCAGTATGTATGAGAGAGTTGGACAGCAGCCTAGGTTATAAAAATGCAAATTAAGATTATGTGATTGGAGAGTTAATTGGTTTCCTAGTGACTCTGAAGAATACAGAGTGTCCTTGAGTGTTTCAGTTGGAAGGGTCCTACCCACAAAAGGGAAATGACTTCCACTGAAGATCACACAGCAAACTAGAGGAGGGCTGGAACCCTGCCTCCAGATTCCCCTGAATCTTTCATCTGTCCTGAAGGTAAACGTGAATGAATCTACTATTTTCCCCTTTAAAGCTTCCTCTTCTCTGCAACCCTCCTACTCAACTCCCATACCCTGCCTCCTCCTAGCCTGGATGATACTAGAGCACCTCGGAAGACTTCCTGTGTTGAGAGTCTATTTCCTTTTCCTAGGTTCAAAGTACTGTGCCACAAAGTGTCTGTCCATTAGCTAAAATATTGTGTCAATGCTCGAGTTTTTCTTTTGCAAGAAGACTGCAAGTGTTAGAAACATCCCATGAGGATGGAAGATCTTGACTCTCAGTAAGGCTTTTTGGTTCAATACCTTACTACTATTTTCTGGGATGATTAGATGAAAAAGGGAATTAACATTTGGTTAATTAGGTAGTGCCTACCACATAGTATGGTAACAGGCACTACCTAATGGAATTTCTTAAAAACACATGAAGTGACAAATTTGGAAATAGCTCCTAGAGTTTAACTAATTGATCAGCTCCCATGGCTATGATGTCATTATGTTATTGGTTTTGGAACAGCCAATCAACTTTGCAAACTATTCATATACATATTCCACTGAGGATACCTACACCCTCTGATGCTATTTGTAGGATTTTTATGCCAGTTTTGCCACCCACAGATGTTTCAATCTGGACAAGTGTCAGCAGCCTAGGGTCAAGTCTAGAAAGAAGCAGAAAGTCAGGTACAGTAGTAGTGCATACCTATAATCTATTACTTGGAGGCTGAGGTAGGAAGAACACTTGAGCTCTTTTGAGATAAGTTTTGGTAACATAGTGACACTCAGAAAATAAATTTTAAAAAATAAAGAAACCCATTTACATAGAATGCATCAAAGCTAAGGAAAATAACATCTGGAAAAATTCCTTGAGGAAAAAGAAATAGAAGAATCCTAAAAATTGAGACAAAGATCATAACTCAAGACAAGAGAAACAAGAGTCTTGGTGGGTGGGAGAATGTAAGGCCATAGGTCCTAGGGTGTTGACCAATTCCCAGGAAGGTTGGGGGACCCTGCAGGGTTTGGGACACAGGGGTGGTACTTGTAGCAGAATCTCATTGGCTCTCTTGGTTTCTTTCTCTTTAAAATAGGCATACAAATAAGCTTCTCTGGTCATCTCTCAGTGGGGTTATGGGAACTGATTCAGTTAACTCATATGAACATGCTTTTATAAAATGTGTATGAAAATGTCACAGAAGGACTATCAATTAGTTACAGCAGTCCAGTCTAATTCATTATCCAGAATTTCAGCTACTCAACTTGTTCCTGGCTGTGTTTTATTGACAAGGCAGCATTTGATATCCATTGAGACTCTGCAAATTAAAGCCTGACTCAGAGTAAGCCCTTGGAATTCATGCCTCTCCTGACCCCTGACTTATTACCTTGACTTTTCTCTACCCTCAGAAAAACTAGGATAGATTTCAGCTGCACAGCAAAAAAACCAAACAAAATAAAACCCTTCTCATAGCAGTCTGCCCATCCTTTGAAAAATTTAGTTTTTAATCTTAAAACAAAGTTTTGGGCTGAAAGTTCATTCATAAAAGGATATATCTAAGGCTGGGGTTGTGGCTCAGTGGTGGAGCGCCTTGCCTAGCAGGTGTGAGGCACTGGGTTCGATCTTCAACACCACTTAAAAATAAATACAAAAGATAAAGGTATTATGTCCATCTACAACTAAAAAATAAAATAAAATAAAACTAAAACAAAAGAATATATGTAAAAGCTGGGTGAGGTGGAACAGGCCCATAGTCCCAGATACTCAGGAAGCTGAGGTAGGAGGATGGCAAGTTTGAAGCCACACCTAGCATCTTAGTGAGACCCTTAGTAAATAATGAGACCCTGTCTCAAAATAAACATAAAGGACTGGGGAGTGGGTCAGTGGTACAGCATACACCCCTCCCACACATAAACAAAGTAAGAAGTATAATTTTTAAAAAAGTAATAAAAACACCACACAATAAACTTCAGAAAAAACATTACTAGTGCCTGCAAAGCCCCATATGTCTTTCCCTGATGCATTCCCTTTACTCTCCTATCTTCTACTTTGTATTAATTTTCATACATAAAATAATCCTTAATATTATTCTTAACATATATATATATATATATATATATATATATATAATCCTTAACAACGTATTATTTAGCTTTTTCTGTCTCTGAACTTTTATAAAGGGGAGAATGTGGTAAGTATTCTTGGACAACTTAGGTGTTTTTTCTTTTTTTGCATCTGCAATTTTCCTACATGGATGGATGCAGTTGTAGTTCATTCATTTTGAAGACATATAGTATTCCATTGTGGGAATGTGCTATAAATTATTTATCCATCCTATAGTGAATGGGCATTTCAGCTACTTCCAGCTTGAGACAGTTATGATGTGTTTTTATGTCACCTGTTGTATTTGTATAAAAGTTAATGTTTATCTAGAAGTGGAAATACCGGATTATAAGGTATGCATGTCTTTAATTTTATCAGATAAGGCCAACCGGTCCAAGTGGTTTAACAATCACCAATAGTATAGGAGAATTTCCATTGGTCTACTTTCCTGCCCTTACTTGACATTAGGCAATGCTTTATTTTTAAATTTCTGCCAACCTAGGAGGCCATGTACTTGTGTATCTCATTTTGGTTGTAGTTTGCACTTCCCTTTTATTAAGGAGGTTGGGCATCTTTTCATGTTTGTAGTCCTTTTGTGTTTCTTCATCTCTGAAATGTCTGTCTCTTTCCCATTTAAACAATAGGCTAATCTTATTGATTGGCAGCTCTTTAAAGATTCTAGGCACCAACTTTTTGCCAGTTTTATGCGTTACAATTATCTTCTTTCTGTCTCTGGATTGTCTTCTCACTCTATACGATATTTTTGTTGAACAGAGTTCTTTAGTGAAATTGACTTCAACCTTTTCCTTTATCTTCTTCTTTCACTTTTGGTGTCATGTTTAAGACATGATTTATCTTTTTCTTTGCCTGAGATTCTAAAGATCATTTCCTGAGTTTTCTTCCAAATATTACGAGTGCCTGCAAAGCCGCCCTTTGAGGAGACATAAAACAAAATTTGAAAAATTCCAAAAGTCTTTCTTAGGATTGTTCTGTCTGTTCCTGAATCTTTCCACAAAACAGTTCTGGAAGTCCGAGATTATTTCTATTCCAATAGGCCTCCTTTCCTCACAGAAAGCTTTGAGTTCTGCCAAATGCCAAGAGACAAACTATTCAAGCCGAGGCTCAGCAATCCCGGACTGCACGTCCCTGCTTGGCACGGCGCGCGACCCCCAGGGGGCGCCCTCGCATCACACGTGCAATTCCCCACAGAGGCTGCATAGGGCGACCTGGACTCCCTGCAGGAGGCAGAGGCAGCTTGAGTGCAGCCAGGCCCGTGCCTCTGGCCCTCGCTAGTCTCATCCTGCCACCGACCTGCTGAAGCTAGGGTCCCTCTTGTTTTTCTAGCCCTTTCAAATCTGCCCTCCCACCTCTAGCTCTGTGTCCATTCAAAGAATTCTCCTGATTCCTCCTTGTCTTTTGGGGAACCCTCCCTGACATTATTTTATAGGTCAGATGTTGCTAAGGTTTAAACCTACCCCAAACCACTGTGGCATACAGCTGATGTAACTACAAGGCTCCCCAAAGGATCAGAGCACCAGGGAATCAATCACAGATGGTATACAGATACACTAAGGAAGGGCAAGAGAGCTCTTTGCCTGTTTGGTGTTTGATTCTGCCTTTTCAATCACTTAACAGTTGGATTGTTTCCTCTTGCCTCCGTTTTCTTTTAAGACTGAGTTAATATCATTGTCTTACAGTTTTTGTAAGGATAAAACAGGGAAGGTTCACCATGCCTGGAACATAACAGGGACCCACAAATATTGGTTTTCCTGTATCTTAGCTTGAGCTCCTCAGAAAACAGAGCCTGAAGTCAAGCTTCAGATCCAGTGCTTTTTTTTTGGTGGCATCATCTCAGGGAAGCAACAGTGAAGGGAAAGGAGACCAGAGGAAGGGAGGAAGAGAGAGCAGATCCCAGGCTGTGCTGACCTTAGCAGGTTCCAAGGCCATGGGTATGGCATCCCTGGAGCAGAGGAGGGCACTTTACCTCCAGTGTCTTCCCACCACTTCTCTCATTAGTCAGGGTTTTAACTGTGGTGTGTTAGTTCCCTGCATTCTGAGCTGTTACCCCTGCTCCCTGGAGGCCCTCTGGACAAGTCAAGGCCTCTGTGGGAAGGACTGGCTCAGGCCTAGGTGGCCTGAGTTGCTGTGATTCCTGCTGCATGCAGTGGGAGGGGGGAAGCTATGTCACCCCCTGGCCCTTGTCCTCAGGGGAGGTTGAGGCAAATGCAGTATTAGCAGATGGAGTGATGGTGCTAGGGCCCTATGACCTCAGAAACAGCTTGAGCTACTGCTAGGACTCCTTTGTTAGAGAAAGCAGGGTGGGGCCTGGGGACAGGGCAGCCAAGTGGGCTAAGCAGATCTCTGGCAGTATATAAACTGAATCTCATGCACTTCTCCCTTTCCTTGTGTTTATGCGAACTCTGCTTCCCAGCACATCTAGCGCTGGGCACATTCACATTCACTGGATATCAAAAGGGCACAGAAATGAATGAAGCATGCCTGGAGTCGATGATTTCATTCATGAAGCAAATATTGTATTTCAGAAGGATCGGGTGTTCTTAGGTCTTGTTCTGTGCTGGATGCTTTGGAAAGTTATGTTAATCAGAGCAAGTTAGTGAAGCGGTTAGGGTTTGTTTTTTTTTTTTTTTTTTTTTGTAAAATACCAGATAGGATTTATGCTTTGTAGGCTACATGCAACTCTGCATTTCTCTTCTTTTCCTTACATACCTTTGAAAATGTAAAAAATGATTATCCTACAAGTCATAAAAAGCAGGTTGGATGCCCATGGGTTAGACTATTTTGAACCAACAAGATCCCAGTTGAAGTGGCTTAACATGTAAAAGGTTTATTCTTGCTCACATCATTGTCCAGTGCAGGTCAGTGGCTCTCTAGAGCAGCTTTAATCTGTGTGGTAACTTAGGGATACAGGATGCCTTCATCTCCTCAGGTCATCATCTATGCCATCCTGATTTTTTTTTTTTGTACTATAGATTGAACTCAGGGGCAGTTAACCACTGAGCCACATCCCCAGCCCTATTTTGTATTTTATTTAGAGACAGGATCTCACTGAGTTGCTTAGCACCTTAACTGTGAACTCCCAATCTTCCTGCCTCAGCTTCCTGGGCCACTGGGATTACAGGCATGCACTACATTCTTTTTTTTTTATTCTTAGATTTATTTTCCAAAAAGTAATTTATATGTTCTTATATGTAAAAAGCAACCTTAAATACAACATGAAATAGCCATATTATTTGCTTTCTCCAAGTCACAAATACATAGAAATCTATTAAATATAATGTTAGATGTATGCTCTCTCTCTATTATGTGATTGCTCCTCTCTTTTAAAGGTACAGGCCTTAAGGACAAGATGGGCTCCTGGAGGCAAGTGTGGGGTGAACCCTATGGACTGACTGAACCCTGCTGTGGGCACTGACCCTGATCTGACCCCTGCCACTCAGCAGTACACCTGGGGAACATCTAGCATGCCAAGTCTTCATCTAGAGAGATGCCCCACATTGGCATTTTTGAAGTTCCTAATGGGGACTTAGAACTCAGAATTGTGGCCACAGCAGAAGTTTTGGAAATGCTTCTGTGTTCTTCTCCATGTCTTGCATGTCTAGGAACTATTGCCAAATCCACTTCTCTTGATCCTCCTGGGACAGCATAGTGATCCAAGTTGAACTGGGGCAAATACTCGGTTCTCAAATTCAATAGATGTGGAGGTATGTTAAGTCTGTCTAATGTCTGTAAGAATTTAGTTTAATACTTATGTCAGAATATTTTTCTGCTCTCTTTAAAAGGTTTATATAGAATAAGGAGAAATTGTTCTAAAGGGCAGGGAAGGTTTTTCCACATCAAGGATTTGTACATCTGTCTGCAGGTTTTGTTTGGGGACTTCATGGTGCCTAGAATCTGATCCCTGGAATGAGCGGTCAGAGACAAAGCATGCACAGAAACCCTCTTAACTGCAAAGCTTGCCTAGGCTATTTACTCTCTACATATATCTAAACAACATAAGAAGACCATGGATCTATAACTGAAGTATTAAGCCCCTGCAGATAGAAATAATTCTTAACCAATAGATTAAGCATTTAAATTATTAGTCAACAATAAAACAACAACAAAAGAAACATATCAAAAATATAAAAAGGAAACACATAATTCTCTCAACCTTCCCTGTCTCTGTTCCTCACCAAAGGATCATTGATCTGGGTATAAAAATCCAAACAAAGGGGCTGGGGTTGTGGCTCAGCAGTAGAGTGCTTGCCTACCATGTGCAAGGCCCTGGGTTTGATCCTCAGCACCACATAAAAATAAATAAATAGAATAAAGGTATTAAAAAATCCAAACAACATTCTTTCTTCGCTTTTTAGTTGGAAGTGACTGTGGAAATGGTGGTTCCCACTCTTATTTTTTATTTTGAGACATGGTCTTGCTAAGTTACTTAGGGCCTCAGTAAGTTGCTGAGGCTGGCTTTGAACTTGAGATCCTCCTGCCTCAGTCTCCCAAGTTGCTGGGATTACAGATGTATACTATCAATACTGGTTTACACAACTATTTAAAGGATTATATCATATCTGTTATGTTTTCTTAATTAGTATTCAAATAGCCTCACATTAACAGCAGAGAAGTTGAGCCAAAGTAGTTTCCTGTATGTCTGGGAAGAGGAAATAGCATACAAAAACACAGGAATGTCTTTCCCCCAGATTAAAGAAAAGTTAAGACATGGTCCTTGTCTTATAGGACCTAGTATCAAGTTGGGACAAAGGATGGGCGTGAATGAAACATCGAATAACGAAGAACAACTTCAAATTCTGTGTCAGAGTTCTGACAAAAGTCAAAACAAAAGACTATGAAATTCACAGGACCAAGAGACCAGACTGGGCCCACGTAGTTGGCTAAAACTTTATGGAGAAGATAGAACTGGAATTTGATTTTGAAGCACTGGCAAGACTTAGCCAGAGGGAGAATGATGGGAAATGTTTTTCAGGTAGGGGAAGTAGCATAAACAAATTGTCACAACTGGAGAAGACCAGGGCGTCCAAAGTGTTTGCACTGGTGGAGTTCAGGCACTGATCCATCCTAATGCCTGCTGGCCTGGCAGAAGATCTCAGTGGTTGGCTTTGGGAGAGGTTCTTATGCAGGAACTGGGGTAGAGGTAGGGCTGTAAGGCAGGGTGGAGGAGACAGTTTCCTAGCATTTTACCCCATTCACTGCATGCTGAGGTGTCTCAGTGTTTTAACAACCAGAATGGCTTCATCAGTGCATGTAAGCTAAACATCTGCCCTGCATCGCATGTAAGCTAAACATCTGCCCTGCATCGGAGACTTATGGCAACATAGGATGGAAAGACAAGTTGGAATTAAATTGGGAAGGTCTCTGATTGCAAGGGTGTTTGGAATATCCAAAGCAGAGATTGACATTATTTATTTTCAGAGATAAAGCCTAGAGCACCCTATATAATAAATATCCAATAATGAATGGTTAAATACAAATAGTGCACCCATATGATGGAATTGTCTGTGATCATTAAGATCCAGTTTCTGAAGACTTTTAACAACATGGAGTGATATGTACAAACTAGAGAAACTAGAACAAAAAAACTAGAGAAGAAAACTAGAGTATAATACCAATTTAGTAATAAAAAATATAAAAATATTAAGACTAAAATAACATCAAACCTAGTGGTTATTTAAAAATTAATTTAAATTGACAAAAATAATATATATTTGTCATGTATGTTTTAAAATATATATAATTAGTATTTATTTTTGGATGGTAGTATTACATTGATTTTTCTTTTCATCATTAAATTTTCCTATGTTTTGAATTTTTATATAAGAAACCCATATGACTTATAATAATTACTCCTCAAAAGAAAGTTTAACGTGGCATGTGGCACAGTGGTGGCTGTGACTATAATTTTCTCTTTCTTCTGTAGGTAAATTCCATTCTCATTTTGGCAGTGCCCAACAACTGGGTACCTACATGAGTCAGTCCACAGTGGCTGAGCACCATCTATCCCTGGGATATTAGGCCCAGTTTGCCACTGAGCAGACAACTGGAAAGCCCACCTTGTTTGTCATCCTATATAGGTGAACTTGTAATTCCAGCAACTCAACTCACAGAGTGAATACTGATCCAGAAAATTGTACAGCCACCCTGTGCTTGAGCCACTAAGCTGTGGGGTATCAAAGATTGGTCACAGAACAGTGAGAACCCATACAGACATGGCATCTCATTTCACAGATGGAAAACCAGAAAGAGGAAGGCACTTACCCAAGGTCACACAGTGAGTAACTATAAGTAGGGACTTGAACCTGGTCTTTGTCCTATGCTATGTCTTCATCTATCACAGTGTACCTTAGACAACTGACTTCCCTGGATTCTGTTCAAATCCCTCTTTTGCCTAGGTTCTATAAGTCAGTTGTGGTTTGGAATTAAATTCACAGAATCACTGCTATTTCTTGGCTCTTCAGTTTTGTGGCTCCCTAGGTCTTCTGACAAAATTCTGTCCTTCTTTAAATCCAATATGTAATGAAAACATTGGCCAAAATATCCTCTGAAAATAATCTGGCAGTTCCTTAGAAAGTTAAATGTATACCCACTAATTCTATTCCTGGGAAAATACCCAAGAGAATTGGAAAATATATGTCCACACAAAAACATTAACTCAAATGTTCAACAGCTTTACCCATATCAGCAAAAGAGTGGAAACAATGAAAATGTCCATCAGCTGATGACTGGATAAACAAAATGTGCTATATCTGTACAATGGGATATTTTTTGTTAATAATCAAAAGGAATGAAGAACCAGTTCTTGCTACAACATGGATGACCCTGGAAAACACCATGCTAAGTGATATAAGCCCATTACCAGAGAGAGACCACATATCATATGATTCCATTTATATGAAATGCCCAGAGTAGGCAAATTCAGAGAGACAAAAGTAGATTAGTGGTTTCCAGAGACTTGGGGATAAGGAATGGGAGGTAATGGATGCAGGGTTATTTTATTGGGGTAATGAACATGTTCTAGAATTAGATAGTGGTGATCATTGCATAATTGTGAATATACTAAAAAAAACACTATGTACACTTTACAATGTTATGTAAATTTAAATTCTATCTTTCAAAAAGATTAGAAAGATTTTCTTGGGTTCTCTGATTAGAACCCAAGAAAAATGAAATTGGAGGAAATC